ACCCCCAGGACCCTCTCTGCAGGGCTGCTCTCCAGCTTCTCCCAGTTTACACTTGTGCCCGGCGTTACTCTGTCCTCAGTGCAGAATCTGACATTTCTTCTTGTTAAATTTCGTCCCGTTAATTATTTCCCCGTGCTCCATCTGTCTAGATCCCTCTGCAAGGCACCTTGTCCCTCAGGACAGTCAACAGCCTTCTCCCGGTTTGGTATCATCAGCAAACTCGCTAGCGGTGAATTCAGCTCCTGCATCCAGGTTGTCGATAATTTGGACAGAGCTGGCCCTAGAACTGAGCCCCAAGGAACAGGGCTGGTGAGCGGCCGCCACCCAGACGTAGCCCCTTTCACTACAACCCTTGGAGCCCTGCCGCCCAGCTGGTTCTTCGCACAGTGCACCGTGTGCCTGCTCATCCCACGGCTGGACAACTTGTCCAGAAGGATGCTGTGAGGGACAGTATCAAAAGCCTCACTAAAATCCAGAGAAGCTCCATCCACCACCTCGCTTTATTCACTAGACAGGTGACCTTATCATAGAAGGATATCAAAGTAGTTCAGCAGGACTTTCTCTCTGTGAACCCACATTGACTGTGCCTGACAATTGCGTTGTTCTTTGAACTTCTTTCAACAGAACCCAGTATAATCGTGTCCATAATTTTTCCAGGAACGGAGGTTAGACTAACAGGTCTGCAGTCTTCTGGGTCTTCCCTCACGCCCTTCTGGTAGATTGGAATAACACTGGCAAGCAGGGACACTGGCTAGTGGGAACATGGTTGGCAGGCACCTCCCCAGACTCCTGAGACCGTTGGTAGGTATCTGTATATGTATCTCTGTACATGTGATACTCAGCCATTTACATGAGCATTTATGCTCTTAGAGAGGTTATAGGTCCCTGTTTGGTCTGTGATTTGTAAATGTTGGCAGAATATAACAGCCTAAATTTGTTGGAGCTTAGATATTCGTTCTGTGGTGTTGTATCTGTTGGTTCATTATAAAATGTTTTTGCATGCTATGTGGATAAGTTAAAAGTAGATGGGCTGTTACATAAGTGTAGCCTATTTCTGGTAAAATTGCATATCAGCCTAGACGGGACACAGTTACATTTCTGATGTGTGGATGTCGAATTCAGGTACTTATGCCAAAATAAGCGCTGAATTAGTCAACAGCTATATACAAGCTGATTAATATCACCATCTTTAGACCTGCTGCAAAATTAATCTCCAGTTCCAGTCTTTCACAAAATAGTAATAGCCTTAATCTGTCTGTCTTTTTAGGTTTTCTCTGCCATATGGATTTAAAAAGGAAAGTGCTTGATTCACTGTGGCAGGGAAGAAACAAAAAGTAGGGATTTTTAATAAACTTCAGTAAGAAAACAGATCTTATGTAATTACCATTTCTGGTGACCTTCTTATCTTGATAGCTTCTGAAGTTGTTGGCCAGTTATATTGGCAAAGTAGTAGAGGTCTCGTGCATAATAGTTCTGCTCCTTTCAGATTTGAGACAGTAGGCAGCTAGGTAGAGAAGAGAAGCCCAGGCTACAACCTTGGCTGAAAGCTGCAGTGCATCTGTGTTAGGAATGAAGAGATGTTGTAGGATTATTACTCGATGGGAAGGCTTCATTTGGGGCTTGCATTCTACCAAAATCAGAATACTTCAACCACAAAGCCACAGGGTACTTGTTTTGATTTTCTGAGTTACTCAGTTGTTGTACTTTAAGTAGTCAAAGAGCAAACAGAAATTCCAGAATTCACTACTTGAACAAAGAGGCACGATCCTTAGCACAGGATCAGAATACTTTAAAAGACCACATAAAGCGTATGTTTATGTTAATTATAATTTTGGCAGTTAACTGCTACTTCGTAAATCTGCGCTTTCTTTTACATCTCATCTCGAATTCCTTTAAATGACTCTGTTCTGGGATTTAGAGCTATGTATATGCCTGTGTGTATTTTAAGGCAGACACTCTTTAATTTTGTATCTGTCAGTTGCAAGTGGATGAGTAAGAGAATTAGAGGGCTTAGGAAAGAGCGGGAGAGGATCCACTGATGAAAGATCACATTGTTTGAAGTGTGAAAGTCACAATTCGTACTAAATGTCATAACGATTTACCTAGATGTCATTCCAGGTATCTAGGCTAGGAAGGAACTTTACTTAGGATGGAGTTAAGCTTTTTGGCAACGACGTAACCTCAATGGCAGCAGCGGCAGAAGCAGCATCAAAATATAATACAGTATGAATTTATAAACCATCAACTTTGATAAAATTAAATCACTAGTTAGTTTTTATGTGTAGATATAACAACATATTTATGCACAACATTAAAAGTTCTGTTTCAATGGAATTTCATGAGAGCATGCTGGAGGGGACAAGCATTACCGTCCATTGTCACACTTTTAAAGAGGGAGTGGGCAGAGGAATGGAAACAGCGGTCCAGAAATCCAGCACTAATAAAGTAAGATACAATGCAGAGAAGTCTCCTGAGAATGTAATACAGGGATGGAAAATGGGAGAGTTACTTGCATGAGAGCAAAGCCTTTCTCATGCCGACAGTGACTGAAGAGTCTATGAGTGTCTGAGTGTGAGTGGTGAAGACAAGCTTTGAGTAAACGTATTCATTTCACTCACATCTGTTGACATGTATTAGTGGTCCAGAATCATTCCACATAAGGAAGCTGCTAAATATTTCATGCAGTGTAATCTCTAACTACCCTTTTATAATTTGTGAATCCTGAGGATAAACTAGTTCCTTGAAGCTACTTTTTTTCTATGTACAGCATGAATTCTCCAGTAATGTTTATGTATCTTATTAACATCCTGGGCATGTTGTACCCCACCTGCTGACTATCCCTGTTTCTAGAAGAGCTAGGTGGAATTCTTGTGCCATTGCACAATGGTTGTTTTTTGAACAGTTTTGAAAAGTAATTGGACTATTGTTTTTTTCTCCAGCCTGTAAGGTCTCTAAGCTGAGAAAGCTTTATTGGCACTTTTTTGACAGTGTATGATATATCCACAGTATGTGCCATCCAGTAAACATTCTAGTTTTTATAGCTTTACTTGAGCCAACAAAACATCTTTGTACCACTGGGGATTAAGGATTATTTTTCTGCTACAAATCTTTGTTTAAAAACATTGGTCTTTTATCTTTAAGTGGATCTGCAGTATATCTTTATTCTGTAAATTGCATGAAAAACCCCATATATTTGTAGTTTGGCTACCATTCAATACAGCTAGGTCTGAGTACCTGAGACGAAAGCAGTCAAAATAATGAGTAGTACTGCTGCTCTACTTAATTCACGTCAAACCATCCTTACAAATTGTTTTGCTGCTATATACTTTCAAGGACAGAGTGTGTGTTGGTACAGTGCCTGACCCATCAGCCGAGTAACATGCTGCACACTTCTGTATCTTAAAAAAGTCATAGAAGTATGCATATCAAATATTCAGTTAAAGAACGATCAAACATTTCTGTGCTCTAGGTGGACTCATTTATGCAATAGCATAGTTTTTACAATGTTTTTTTCCTTGTGAGGAATCATATAATTGAAGCACTAGAGTGTGTCAGGGCTTACTCCGTCCTTCATTTGTTCCTATTTTAAGTCTTCTTACAGTTCAAAAAGGGAAAAGAATTATCAAAGATACAAATGGAAGTTGTTAAAGAGATCTTTTCTTCTCCTAGATCATTACTGTATTCTGAATGGTCACGGGTGATACGGGTATTAACTGGCTTGTGGATTTTCTTGGGTTATGTTAAAGGGAAGGAGAGAAAAAAAATCATCATCATTACAGCTTCATAAATTC